AAAGAAGGGGCAGAGATGAGGACACACTAGCCTCCAGCTCCCTGAAGCCACATGGAATGGATGAGGACATGCATGTCTATGTGGTGCTGCCCAGCCCACCCCTCACCTCTCTTCCTGTCCAATACAATCTGCCTTTGGGATGGGCAGGAAGTGGAATCTTCCTTGAGAAGAGTGAACATAAAGAGGGAAATGTGAATCTAAAAATCAGGGTGGCCTTAGACCACAGAAATGTGAATTCAGCCCCAGTGTACCTGCTGTTGCTGGTGGCCCTTACAAACTACACACAGGAAGGGGTGGTCAGGCTGATGAAAGGTCAGCAGATGCTATTACGTTATTCCTGACTTACACTGGCTACTCAAGTAAGGTGAATAGGCTAAAAAGTAAACTGGAAAAAAGGTTAATACCTAAACTATTTAACCAGAGAAATATTTTGGCCTTAATTATGTGGATATTACTCTAGATATACTTTAACATTAAGAATGACTAAAATTATCTTTAAAAACGAATTCTTTTTATTCCCTTTAGCCTCATTGAGATGACAATAACTTAAGCAGTAAACAGAAACTTTAACAAGACAATACTTAGAGTGCATTAAATAAATATAAATTTTATTAAAAACACTCTAATAGCGTTATCAGGAATGATATAATAATAAACGCTTTCAAATAACTTGCATTCATAACATTACAATACTTACAGTATTTATAACCATCCTCAGATTTTATAGACAAACCAAACATTTCATGAAAATGAAATGAAACTAAGTTTTTAAAAAAGCATAGAAAAAATGCACACAGAGCTCATTATCTTAGTGTCAAACTGCAAAAGTTTCCTACACAAGTTGACCACTAGCTTGAGAAGTGAACTGTACACCACTGTGCGTCAATCAAGATGAAAAATTCATTCAAGTAAAGTTGACACCACTCAGAAGCATTTTTCAAGTATGGCTATATAGTCAACCTGATATTCCTATATAAGCAAACTGGAGATTTGCTTGCCATTCATTCTGAGGCAGGTTTTATATTTACAATTATAGATCTGATATTTACAATATGCCATTCAATTTTCTCTTCTTCTCCCTACCTAACCTCTCCTGACCCCCCCAAACTATACTTCCTGCTCTTGCTGGCTAGCAGTTTGACAAGTGACAGTGAATGATATAGACACCAAATATTCATAAAGGGATGGATGACTCAAAACCAACAAATATGCATGTAGTAACCAAATAGTTGGCATTAGATATATGCTATATGTAAAATATTTAAAATCATGTGGTTTGACATTGGCAAAACAAATGTTTTTGAAATATTTATAAATTGATCACAGCCAGAAAGGAATGTTTTTAAAAAGACAAAAGCCATGTTATAAAGAAAGATTTGACCAATAAATCTCAAAGGCTCCCTTGATTAAGAATTTATTTGAAATTTTAGTAAGCAAAAGTGTACTTAGACCAAAATGTAATTGTACAGTCGATTGCACACCATACCCCTAAATGTTTTGCCTGTTTGGGGATGTCCTTATGGATCTGTACCTCTACTGATTACAGGATAAAACATCTTTATTTAGAGAGTTCAAAGACTCTAGCCAGCAGCCACTTGCCAAACTCCTGCCTTACAAGTTTCCCTTTAACAACTCAGTGCATTCTATTTTCATGTAATTTTTTTCCTGCTCAAAACAATCAAAATACTCCCCAAACTTTTAAAATGCTTTTCTTTACAATAAAAGGGGTCAACAGATATACAAAATTAGTTTTAGTTACATGAGGACATATACAAGCAAAATAGGAGGGATTCAAAGTAAAAGGTTTAAATCCCTGACAAAGAATATGTTTATTAACCTACAATTTTACATAAACACAGGTGACATGTTGGCATAAGGAGAACATGAGCTGAAATATCCCTGATTTTTAGAACAAAAAGGTTGACGTTCAAGTTATACTTGCTAAGAAATCAAGTATTGAACAAAAAGGTATGCGTTTTAATTATAAAAAAGAAAGACTTGGAAAAAAAATGATGGTACATGATGCTCTAAGCTTTCACTCTCAGTTCAATATCCTATTGCCAAACTAGTGTTGAGGTATATGACAGTAGGAACACCACTCAAACCTTTACTGAATTCTTAGCTCACATTATGATATATTTGTAGCAGGTTGAGTAGCACCATCATGATGTGAATTCTGCTTCAAATCCATATATATATGTATATATATATATATATTTACTTTTTTACAGTACTAAAATACTAAAGCATTGCGTTAAAAAAGTTTTGTTTACAATTAATTTACTTACTATACATCTCTTTCACTTCTTTATACAGATTAATGATTTAAAACCGCCACAGCAAGCCAGCTGCCTGTTTCTTTTCTTTTCCTTTAATTAACAGATTCACATGGAACTAACCCTGTTTATTCAACTGATGCAGGCCAGTCTGCTCGGTCGGTCTTCCTGGTAAAGAGGACACTTAAGCCAAGAAGTGACAACATCACAACGTACAATTATCAACACAAAGGCAGACTGACATTCAATTGCTGAAGAGCATACAGCGCCATAAAACCACTCTGCGTAAGTGAACGGCATGGTTGAGTCTGTGGCATGAAGTTAATCATTACTGAAGTTGATAGAAAATTCTGAAAACTACATGTTTGACCAATGAACTCGTCAGACAATTTCGTATAAAACTATTACAGTATAGCATGAGAAATGAGCACCAGAAAACATGTTTTATGGACTAACGTATTCCCTTGAATCCAGTAAGCCCCCTTTTGGATTGAACTGGCTGTATGGAAAATGGACACATTGCTCATCAGCAGACGCATGGCTAAAAGCAAAAATATTTTAAAAGCTTTCTTAAAAAAATCAACTTTGCATTCTAAAATGAAAGTAAACTTTTTTTTTTAAACGTCTCAGTACCTTAGCATTGTTCAAGTTGTCAAAGCTTAGGTAGGCAAAGTGCTTCTAAGACACCATTTAAAATATTTATACATATACATGTGTGTGCACATATACATGTGTGTGTATATATATATATATATATATATATGTACATATAGTGGTTTATTGTCCTACAAGGACTTCACTGGATGAGCAAAATCCAGAGGCCTTTAAAATGTCCACATTTTAAAAACAGCTTGTGTAAGAATAGGTAATTATAATAAAAACTTGAATGAAAAGGTACCCCTATTATTCAAGGGCATTGGAGTTCACTGGTAGCATCTTGATGATATAAAGGCATTAAATTTTCAACTATTAAAGACACCATTTTCTTAGCACCATTTCTTAGAACACCCAAACAAATTCAGTGTTTTGCTGTCTATTCATTTATGCTTCCTGTAGCTATTTGATAAATAAAAGTTAATATTAAGAGTACAGTAAAAACTGCATGTTAAAAAACCATAATTCCAGTATTTCAGTACATTGTATGTTCAGCACCAGATGGTGTTTAAGAATCCTGTCTCTGTAATACTACATTACTCACTGGATTTGTGTCCAGGACTCTGCAAACTTGGTATTACTAAAAAGTGGTCACAGATGTGTAGAGTTGTAAGGTGGGGAAAAGTCACATTTACATTATCATCTCGTCCAATCATAGAACCAGTGTTTAAAAATGTAAATGGTGGAACACTCTCTTCCCCACCTTCGTTTTGCATAGAATGCTTTGGTCTTTTGTATGGATGCCATCTGTGACCACTTAGGAGTCAGTGGGAATTAAGTGCTATGGTAAGGTGACCTCTTTTGCGTTTGCTGGTGAGCTGAGGTTCTTCCTACCACCTTTGTCATGAATACTGTGTCCCTTTCCCCAGGGCCCGTGTCATGAGAACTACACTGTGGGCCGGTTGGCTGTGGTCTTTTCGAATGAGGTAACCAACACCAGGGGCGACGTCACACGTATGTGTTGTAAGGCCCTGTGACCCGAGTGAAGGCATACGGAGATGTGGTGACTGTGGAGTCTGTGGTCACCGACATGGTCCTCTCGGCCAGGGACTTGATGAAGCGCAGGTAGGTGGGCTCGGAGGGCTCGTGTGGCTCGGTGGGCTCCCGCTTCACTTTCTTGCCGTGCGTTTTCTGAGGCACGTAGTCCGGGCCATACTTCTCGCACTCTTCCTCCTTCTCCCGGGCTTTCTCGGCCATCTTGGCCTCCCAGAGCGCCAAGCCGTGTTTGGGCTCGTTCATGCTCTTGTGTTGGTAGAAGACGAGCGAGATCCTGGTGGGGTGATTCCGGTTGGGATTCTTTAAGGGGGTCGTGGCGTGCAGCTCCCTCTTTGCACACTCGATGAGAATGGACCCATGAGCCGGCGCCACCGCCACGCCCCCGATGTCAGGGTCCAGGAAGCTCTGCTCGCTGTCGGACCAGACCTCGTCGTTCTCCTCCGCGGCAGGAGGCTGCTTGTCCTGGCTGCTCGCGTCTAGCAACCTGTGCAAGCCTTGCTGGGCAGCGGCAGCTCGATCGTGGCTCAGGCCGGGCAGCATCGTGGGGAGCCCGTTAGCTGTGTGGGAAAGCATGTCGTTCTCCTTGTTCTGGAGGTGCAGGGCGTGGAGAGAGCTGTTGAACATGCCCGGGGCGGCACCGTAGTTATGGAGCATACGAGAGGATGGGGGGTGCTCCCCGTTTTTATAGTCTACGTTGGGGTTGCTCAAATTGGGTGGGAATCTAGAGGCGGCCCCCAGGAAGTGACCATCCATCTCGTGCGTGGAATAAGGAGGCAGCGTCCCCACGTGGCGCACGGTTGGCCTGGGAGTACAGCTGCTGAAGGTGTCCCCCTGCATATTTTGGTTTCCATAACCCAAGGGTTTGGAAGTAAAACTCGGGCTGTTTCCGAACCTCGGCTGGTAAAGCGTGTGGATGGGCGGCAGATTTAGCTTAGAGAGAGGGTCTTGGTTTGGATACCTATAGAGATCCATGGGCTGGGGCTGGGGAGAGTAAGAACCCAGATAGGAGGAGCAGCTGTCCATGGATACGTTTCCGTTGCACTGATAGGATGGATATTGGTTGTTCTGATTTAGAAGCCCAGGGTAGGGGCTCATGAGATTAGAAGAATTCAAATATGAAGCCGCAGTTTGGGATGAGGTGGAATAGTAGTTCACACAGTTGGCGCCTCCTCCATAAATATCCGACGTGTGTGAAGAGCTTGGATAAGGACTGACTGGATTGGGCCGTCTCATATATAGATCGGTGTGTCCAGAAGAATAGTAAGAGTTGACAGTCTCTGAATGATGGTTATTAGTCAAGGGGTGATGTGGTGGCTGCTGCTGGGGTGGCTGCTGCTGGGGT